ATCACCAACTCTGCTGGCAAGTCAAAAGCAACCTCCAGCACTACAGCTGCAACAAACTGCAACTCACAGCATGCACAGCCTGGCTCAATAGCTGCAGTATGCATGGTTGCCTAGATTTATTTGGATGGTGGTACTCTTTATCTACAAGAAACTTAAATTTTATGTGTCGGGATATTATTCTTTTTTTGTATAATGAAACAGGTGCTATGGCACATTTTCTGTTGGCTCTATTACTGTAATAATTTAATTCACACTTTTAATTCCGTTTTATTTCTGCTCTTTATGGACATGTAGAGCACACTGTAAAGGAAGGTAAGAGATTTAAGAAGATATGTTCAGGAGAACTGTTTTATTGAGTTTAAAATGTTTGTATTATCACTTTCAGACTTTGTACATCTTTTTAAAATTAGGTGTGTGTGAATCAGTGTGTCAGTAAACATGCTATAGACTTGTTTAAAAATTATACTAATACGACCATTGAACATATGTGACTACCTGAAAGTACAAACTAGTGTGCGGGTAAATGACTGTTTATTCTTCTGGTAGGATGAAAACACTGGATATATTCACTTTGAACTTGGGGTGTGCTCAGTTCAGCCACAGCGTGTGGTCTTGAATTTATAATTGCCTTGCAAACTGTGCCAGATGGATATATAATGCATTGTTAAAGATGTGCCTTGTATAAGCATTTGTAAAAGATTTACACACATGCTTTTGTCTGTCTAGTGCCGTATTGCTTTGTGATAGTGTTTTGTTTTGTAGATTGTAAATATTCTCTTTACGATGTTTAAGGACAGCTTTGTCTGTGTCTGTCTGGTCAGTAAAAGTCTGTACCAACTTAGTTATGAGACCGTGTACACTGGATGTACTTGTATGGACATCTTCTAAATGTTTAGCTCACCCACTCTTCTATGTAAAAAATAGGATTCTGTAAACCCTCTTAATTAATTTCAAAGGGTACTTCATTGCACTAGAAATACACAGTGCTGCTACAATACACAGTTCATTTGTGGGAAGTTGCCTGTGGACTAATATAATGTGCCTTTTCCAATCAAAGAGGACCCACTAAAACAGCATGGGAACTCAATATTTGCTGCAGCTGCTGTTTACTACACCTTCCATGATGCCTTGCTAGTGCTTTCACTGGCTAAGCATTACTACTTTTGTAGTTCATAGTAGCTTCTCTCATCCAGGTAAAATGGCTAGTTTGATATCGCTATGCAATTCAAACAGGACAATATTAATTTTATTTTTTATTTAAAAGATTGTCTTGTTTCTTTGTCCTCCGTTTAATTATTACTTTCATTGTTTTACTGATGCATTGATATTCATTGATATCTCTTACACTAATGTAATACTGGATTTTCATTGGACACTGTAGTTGCAATATTTCAGTTTGGCAACAGGCTGGACAATTAGTCTCAACAGTACATAACACTCCATTGCTGGAAAGATTTATATTTGGCATCTGAGCAAAGCAATGATGATGTATCTGATGCATTTTCACCCATTCCTTTAAATTTACCATTTAATTATGCATTGTTTTTTTTATTGGGGATATATCTCAATCTGCTTGTAAACACTGCAGATTTCTTGTCTGAAGTCTTTGCAAGCCCTCCCCTTCTAAACCTGCCCAGACTTTCTGTGGCTGTCCAATCACAGACTTCCCAGTGCAGCTCCATATGCAGTATTTGCAAGGCAGGTGATGTGAGCAATTGCCTGCCTCTTGAGTATAACGGCACTGAGCAAAACCAGGAAGTAACAGTACTGGTTGTCTGACTGGGCAGGAGTTGGTCTGGAACTATTTGTTTAAGAGAAATCCAATTTCTTCTTAAATGTTTGTCAAATTAAAGCAAGAGGATACACTCTTCACACATAATGTACTTCAGCAAGCTTAAGTACTTTAGGGGTATGGAGTGTCCCTTTAATTGAGTTAAAGGGATACTATAGTCACCTGAACAACTTGAGCTTAATGAAGCAGTTTTGGTGTATAGAACATGCCCCTGCAACCTCACTGCTCAATCCTCTGCCATTTAGGAGTTAAATCCCTTTGTTTATGAACCCTAGTCACACCTCCCTGCATGTGACTTGCACAGCCTTCCATAAACACTTCCTGTAAAGAGAGCCCTATTTAGGCTTTCTTTATTGCAAGTTCTGTTTAATTGAGATTTTTTTATCCCCTGCTATGTTAATAGCTTGCTAGACCCTGCAAGAGCCTCCTGTATGTGATTAAAGTTCAATTTTGAGATTGAGATACAATTATTTAAGGTAAATTACATCTGTTTGAAAGTAAAACCAGTTTTTTGTTTTTTTCATGCAGGCTCTGTCGATCATAGCCAGGGGAGGTGTGGCTAGGGCTGCATAAACAGAAACAACGTGATTTAACTCCTAAATGACAGTGAATTGAGCAGTGAAATTGCAGGGGAATGATCTATACACTAAAACTGCTTTATTTAGCTAGTGTTCCTTTAATTAAATTAACTTCTTTAATTCCTTTATTAAATCAACCCTTTGTTAACCACATATCTTGAAAATACTGAAAATGTACTTGTGTGCAATACTGATTAAAAAAAAATGTGATTTGTTGGACTAAACAAACTATAGACAAAACTTAATTTTTTTCCTGATTGTCCTGTTTTAATAATTTATTTTTAAGACCTCGAAGAGTTTTTTTGTTTGTTTGCATTTGAATGTTTTTCTTTGTTTTGTTGCACTTTATGACGTTCTCTTCATTGCTGTTTAGTGTAGAATCTCTTTAATTAAAAAAATATTTAATTGCATTACATGTTCACGTAGTGTGTTGTCAATTATGCTGTTTAATTTATTCTAGAGCAGTGATGGCAACCCAGATGTTTCTGAACAGTGCAAGCAGTCTGGGTTGTTAAGGTTACCCAATCACTATTCAAACATTGGGAGATATGGATGTGGGGTGGGTCACTTGGAGGCATACCAGTGAGTGTGTGCAGATTATGGGTAATTCATTCGAGACAGGCCTACCTTCAAAATGGCAAAGACTCTGGTAACATAGCAAAGTATTCCATCTCTGAACCTAAATAAATACTCAAAATGGAAGCTGTTTAGACACAGGGTGACTTACAGAGACACTGTAGGCACTGAAATTGCTTCATGTCATTGAAGTGGTTAGTGTCTGTAGTCACCTGGCACAGTCCTTCTATTCAGCAATAATCCATTTTTGATGGTTTTATGCTAAGAAACAGACCCCAGCAACACATTCCCTCTGTGCTTATAAGGAAGTTCTGAGCATCAATGAATGGCTGTAACTGGCTGACCTTGACACCCTTTAGCCTATCACACTGCCAGTTGCTCGGATGAATTGGCATGGCTAGATAGAGGTGTGTAATCCCTGCCGTAGCCATGCCTCCATTGGGGGCCTGGCTGTGGGTGACCAGGGACCCTTATTTAGTTTTAAAAGGTGTGAACATGTTTAACATTGAATGGAGGGACAGTGCCAGGGGACACCATGCACTACATCTAATCCAATTAGATGCAATGGTTATAGTGTTTACAGTGTCCCTTTTAAAGGAACATTTCAAGATTTCAAGCACCATAACCACAACAGCGTGCATGTAAGCTTCTCTTCCTAGGTTTTACATTTTACCTGGAGCACACGTGGCTCCATAACAATTAGGGATCGACCGATTATCGGTTTTACCGATATAATCGGCCGATATTCGGTATTTTCGGCAATATCGGTATCGGCCAATTCAGATACCGATATTGCCGATAATACCTCCTAGGACCGCCGGGCTCATTACAAGCCCGGCGGTCCTGGGGGGGCGGGCCGCAAGCGCTTACTCACCTCCCAGCAGCTCCTCCAGCTCCCCAGTGTAACTCTCGCGAGACCCGCGGCCGTCCAAACGTTGCCATGGGTTACCATGGCAACGCTCCGCGCGGCACGCTGGCCGTGAGAGTTACACTGGGGAGCTGGAGGAGCTGCTGGGAGGTGAGCCAATACCACTGGACCACCAGGAACTGCTATATCCCCCATCCCTGGCCAGGTATGAAACAGGGAGGAGGGACAACAACAATAAATAATTAAATATATATTAAAAAAAAAAGTAATAAAAAATGCCCCCCCTCACACACACACACACTCCATTATATACACATACACACTGTGTATATAATGCAATGTGTGTTTGTATAGTGTGTGTATATAAGGCAGTGTTTGTGTAGTGTGTTTATATATACACACTATACACACACACTGCATTATATACACACACACTACACAAACACACTGTGTATATAATGCAGTGTGTGTGTAGTGTGTATACAATGCAGTGTTTGTGTAGTGTGTGTATATAATGCAGTGTGTGTGTGCAGTGTGCGCATATAATGCAGTATGCGTATATAATGCAATGTGTGTAGTGTGCGTATATAATGCAGTGTGTGTATATAATTAATGCAGTGTGTGTGCATAGTGTGTTTATATAATGCACACTTCACAAACACACTGCATTATATAAACACTATACAAACACACACACTCTGTATTATATAAACACACTGCATTCATTATATACACTACACAAACACACACACTTTGCATTTAGTATATACTGCATTCACTTTACGCACACTACCCACACACTACACAAACACTCTGCTTTCATTATATACACACAACACTAATACACACTGCATCCACTACACACTAGACAAATACACACTGCATCCACTACACACTAGACAAATACACACTGCACACACTACACAAACACACACTGCATCCACTACACACACTACACAAACACACACTGCATCCACTACACAAATACATACAGCTTCCCTGTCTAAACACACTGCATCCATTACACGTGGCATGTATATTTTGTGCATTTACCTTTAGAAAGTTTTTATTTTCCAAAATGGTAAATGTACAGAATATCGGCAAATTATATCGGCTATCGGCCTGAAAGTTCACAGAATATCGGTATCGGTATCGGCTCTAAAAAATCAATATCGGTCGATCCCTAATAACAATTACAAGCTCACTGTAGTGGTAATAGTGCTTAATGTGTTCCTCAAAGTCATCTAGCTCAAGTGAAAATCTTGAAATTTTATATTGAATGCTGTACATAAAAGATCCTTGCACCATGACCACTTGATGCTTGGGTTAATAACCCTTTAAGGTTTTGTCATTTTGTAGGCAAAATGAGACATAAAATATAGACTACAAATATAACCCATAATGAAAGTCAAAAGGGCAAAAAACAGAGTGAAGAGGAGGTAAGGGGAAATGTGTGGAAGGAAGATGGAAAACAGCTGTTTAGCGAAAACGAGTGCACAAAAAAAACTACATAAAAGGGTGATCTTTCTTCACAGAATTAACAAAACAAATATATGCTACACTTATACAGTGAAAAATACAGGAAAAAAAGACTGTACCAAATAAGAAATACTAGATAACCATATATAGATATATATGTACAATATTGTATCCAAATAACATATATTTATTAAAGAGTCCCAGCAAAAAGTGTTTTTGGAGAGAAGAACCTTTTGAAGATGGTGCTTTTTTGGAGGTCAGTCTGTTATCCTCCTTCGTGTTCAAGTAGATAAAACTTTGGTCTTGGTTAACCCTTGTCTGCCTCATCCTGTCTGGATTACCTGGTTAAACTCTGCTTGCTTGAGCCTGTCCTGGGCCGCCTGGTAAACCTTTGCCTACTTGTTTAACCAGCCTAAGACTGTGGGCTCTCTGTTTTTGCCTGGATTATCCAATCAAGACTTTCCTTTTGTTTTCTTGGTCCTGGCTCTACACTGTATGGTCTTGTCCTTGAACTTTCCAGTTTATTTGTTTTACTCAATAAAGACTTGAAGTGACTTTGTGTTGTCCAATTCTCTGCATACCGAGCCCTTTCACCCCAAACATTAACATCACAGAAAACTGGTCCATTAGTAGTCTGAAAAAGTAGTATTCAATCGAGGTTTGAATTAACAAGAGGAAAGTGCCCCTGCCAAAAGGTATCCAGCAAGAGGTGCAGAACACCAGGTATTGACAGTATAGAGTTAGGAGTATCTTTCAATTAGGGATGTGCACCTACCCCAACCACTAACCCTACCTCTACCCCAACCACTAACCCTACCCCAACCCTCTCCTGTTTTGCCCCTTTTTAGAAATCCGAAGCACTTCGGCACTTCCGAAATTCGGTACTCAGTTCGGCATTTCTGACATTCAGAAGCATCCGAATCTCCGAAATTCGTCAGAACTTGCATTTGGAATGAAACAAATTGCACATGTCTTTCAATGTCATAATGAGATCCAACTCTTCTGTAGCCTGTCAAGGGCACCACTCATCTGGGACAAGTCTTCATATTGGTAGGTAGATCATTAATTCTCTGACCATGCTAAAAGGAGCACAATGTTGTGTGCAGTGGTTAGAAAATGGAATGACATTTTTACATATGGGTCCTTTTATATTGAAGACAAACACAATAAATGTCAAAACACAGTAACTGGTCAAATGGGGAAAACAGTAAACACTTAAAATGTGTTCATATTAAAATTCTTGGCTGGGACTACATTATTACTACACTTTCATTTAGCCAGAAGGGTGAGCATATTCTTATAGCAAATGTACAGGAAATGTCACCCTTAACAGAGTCTAGCAAACTATCCCCAGGTGTTGTGCATTGTATGTATTAACCCCCTTCTTAGCCAGTATGTGCTTGATGCAAATAGGTGAATAGTTCTGCCCTGGGTAGGGGGGATGCAGTAATCAGGGGAAGGAAAGATTTGTTTTCTGATTTTATGCAAAATCTGGGAAAGCCTAGATTGCCTCGCTTTGTACCAGCCATGGAGGTTGAGATTAGGGGTAAAACATTTTAATATATTTAAGGGTGCAGGAACTGGTGGATGGCAATGTTTTAGTAGTAGCGTAACCATGCCAAACTAATCGAGGGTAATGCTTGTGGTAGTTTAAGCCTATGAGCCATCGGAATCCATAAAAGTTTGTGAACTGTGTATGGACCAATATAATCATTCTCTAGCTGGATGCACATGGGTGAGTTCTATTGAGAGTAATTACCCATTATTTTGCCAAATTTAAATGCTAGGCAATAGGATTTCACATGTGGAACACCTGCACACCCTTGGAGTTTGTAATTTCAGTATGTGAGCAGCTACTTGTAGCGGAGAGATGGTCTTACACAGCCTATCTCTACTTTAGATCCCAGTAAGGCTCAGGAACAAGTATTATAAATCTACAGGGTAATATTTCCAGCAGGCAAAATATTCCAACAATATCCCAATCTCAATCCCAATGACTGGACGACACACAGCATCAGGAGCAGAACTAAACTTTTAATCACAGCAGTTCCTTATAAAGGTTTCTCCCATGCAAGGGAGGGATTTACAATAATTAGGACAGTAACCAATGGTACAGTAGTTCCCTCCCATACATTCCCTCCCCTCAGTGTGACACTTAATACACTTATTTCTGGTACAGTTTTCCCTGTTTTCTGGATGTACCCCAAAACTGTGGGGTACAAGGATTTAAGTGGCATCCCCTGGTAGCCCTGATCTGGGTGACCAACATACTCAAAATTCACCCAGATCAGACCAGGGGTTCGGGAGTTCTGGGGAATAAACTATTTGACCGACCGCACACGAAGGGGTAGCCGAAAAGGGTTCCATGTGTTCTGCCCTTGTGGTCAGTCTACGTTCTGGAGGTAAAACAGTCACTAATCTTTGCCATCCATGGCTAATAATGCATTCACATGAATCCCCTTGTTCGTTAGATTGAATTCACCGAACGAGGCGTTGATTGGCCCCTCCGTTCTGGAGGTCTCAGCAGTGTTCGGGTAATCGAGTGTCCGATTTGAGTTCCAGACACTCGACGACCAAACACCGCTGAGAGTTCGTGCGTAAGATGGCCGCCGCCACGTGTTCGCTTACCGAATGGCGGCCACCCATTTATAGCAATAAAACACAGATTAACTGTGGTTAGAGAAGTGTGAAAGCCTTAATGAGGTACACACTTCTCTCTGGGGTGGTCTATTGATTCAGTAGTTTTCATTCGTATGAAATATGAATGGAAACTACCAAACAAGCATACGAATTCCACATACAATTTCCATTATACAGTAAGATAAACACACGAACAGTCTTTTAAAACACAATCCTGGAGCACAGTCCAATGCCATCCGCTACACTACTCTTGGGAGTATTTCCTTCCAACTTTGTTTGAAGAGTCGCATGTTTAGAAGTAATTGAAAATAATATAATATTCTGGTAAGTATCCTAATTTTAACTGACTATCCTCTGCCCAGAAATGAGACCTCTGGTGACACCCACTTTAGTAATGTTGATCTAGTGGTTTCCAGGAGTTTCATCTGCCCGTTTGGTTAAAGAAATATCGACCAATATTGATTTTTTAGCGCTGATACCGATAATCTGTGAATTTTCAGGCCGATAGCCGATAACTTGCCGATATTCTGTACATTTACCATTTTGAAAAGATACAACTATTTCTAAAGGTAAATGCACAAATTATACATGCCACATGTAGTGGATGCAGTGTGTTTAGACAGGGGAGCTGTGTGTGTTTGTGTAGTGGATGCACTGCGTAAATAATGAATGCAGGGTTTGTTTGTGTAGTGTGCGTATAGTGAATGTAGTTTGTATATAATGCAGTGTTTGTGTAGTGTGTGTATATAATGCAATGTGTTGTGTAGTGTGTGTGTGTATATTGTGACGAGACCAATCTCTCCACTGTGCAATGGAGGAGCCTGGTTGCCTGCCTGCTGCATTTTGACTATGGACCGGCATTTAAATACTTTATTTTCCTATGCAGAAAGGTCTATTCATGTTTTCTGCCCTGGCGTTCGGTAGATTCTCGGATTTACTGAATGAACTCAAATAACCCAGGTAGCTATGCCATGGAGCCTATTCGTGTAATAAAAGACTTTGGCTCCATGGCAATTGAACTGTATGTGTGTGTGGTCTGAGCGCCATTCAGTATTAATGTGCGCTCAGACCTAAGCTATCTGGGCATATGTTGCATGTCTGTATTTTATGTCATAAATGTAACCGTGTGTATTTTATTGTCTTCTGCTGCCATGTGCTTCATGGAGTTTTGCCTCTGTCCTTGGAGATAATTGGATTACTTCCCAATTATCTCCAGGACAGAAGACTCTGTGGGCAGAAAAGCCATGCTTCATTTGGTCACAAAGGACTTCGATTTATCTTTTGAACCACTGGACCAATTTGGATGATTATGTGAATGTGATGCATACTTTTAAAGTTATGAATAATGTGGAAAAACTGTATTTCTCTGCCGGTGATAATTACATTACCCATTGTGTAAGGTAATTGTATCACAGGCAGAGGAGAAGATTTTGTGTGGGAGTGTCTGAGTGTATTGTATGTGTTTATTGGTTGTTTTCCAAAAGCCTGTGGGTGGTACTAATGTGTATATAAGAACAATAAACCCACAGCTCTGTCTGTTCCTGCTTGACCCTCAAAACGGAACCTTGTCTCGTTCTTGGGGGGGATTTACTGTATGCTGTTAGAGACTGATTGCGAGGAGTGTAAGCCGCTTGGGTGCTTTTCCTGTTCAGCTATTAGCAGCTATTCGTGAGGTTCCAGTTCGGGAGTTTGGAGCATTCCCTTGAATCCAGTTTGGGAGTTTGGTGTTCTGCAGTAGCTGTGCCTGTGTCTCTGGAAGGGAAGATCTACTAAACGGCTTTTAACCCCTTTTATGCCTGGGGGTGCCGTTACATATATAATGCAGTGTGCGTTTGTGTAGTGTGTGTGTATATAATGCAGTGTGCGTTTGTGTAGTGTGTGTGTATATAATGCAGTGTGTGTTTGTGTAGTGTGTGTGTGTATATAATGCAGTGGCCAGGGAGGGGGGCTATGTTAATCCCTGGTGTTCCAGTGGCATGTACTGAGCAGTGGGGGGGCCCGCAGCAAGCTGTTACCTCCCAGAGCTCCTCCAGCTCCCCTGTGTAAATCTCGCGGTCTGTGTGGCAACACTCTGACGGCCGCGGGTCTCACAAGATTTACACTGGGGAGCTGCTGGGAGGTAAGTAAGGCCCCCCCAGGTCCTGGTATGTATTATCGGCAATATCTGTATCTTTATTGGCCGATACTGATATTGTCGAAAATACCCAATATCGGCCGATCCCTATTGGTCACATTATTTGTATAATAAGATATATGTGGCCTAGTGCAGTGGTTCACAACCCAGTCCTCAAGTACCCCCTACCAGTCCACCATTTAGGGATTACTCTGTTGTATCTAAAGTGTTTTTTGTTATTTTTCTTTCTTTATAAAAACACCTTGGTCACAACTGGGTAATCCCTAAATCCTGGGCTGTGGTGGGGGGGGGTACTTGAGGACTGGGTTGGGAACCACTGGCCTAGTGGCTATTTTGTGCCCATGGTATGACCAGTGGCTTGCAAATCCCCCCAACCCCACCCAAAACAAAAATTGTCATTATTTCTCCACCATCTCTATTGTCTCCCCCCTTTCCCAGCACCTTTGTGGGTCTCTTTCTCACCCAGCCTATTTGTGTCTTTTTTTTTTTCCCTTCCCCAGCCTCTCTGTGTGTGTCTTCCCCCCCAGCCCCGTTGTGTGTTTTTCTCCCTCCCAGACCCTTTTTGTGTCTCATTGAGACATTGAGGATTATGTGAAAGGAACTCTCAGATTACTGAGTGACAAGAAAACCTACCATATTTTAACCCCTTAAGGACCAAACTTCTGGAATAAAAGGGAATCATGACATGTCACACATGTCATGTGTCCTTAAGGGGTTAAACAAAGATCCTACAAAAGACATAAAGGAGTCAAGTAATAATACACTAATTAAGCAAGGGAA